AGATAAAACAATCTTCTGCGGGAAAGACCCTTATTTTCATATGCTACAATTGACAAATCTTAGTGTAAATAAGGAAAATCAGTAGGATATTTGTGTGCTACTTTGTGGTGTGCTTTTAATCCTATCAAATTTTTGGCGCCGTTGCCGAGGATTGTTATTTCTAATCACTTATTTTTCTTTTGTTTTCTTTTCTTGTCTAATTAGTGTTTTTGTTTTTGTTTTTATTTCAGGTACTCTTTGTGGTATATGCATACTCGAAGGTCGAAGAGCATTGACCTAGCTTCCTTTGATCCCGAGCTTGAACGAACACTTCGAAAGCTTCAAAGAAAAATCAAGCAGCAGCGTGCATCGGTGTCTTTACCACCATCTTCCCCACCACATTTGAGTTCGGAAGAGGAGGAAGAACCACCAGAAGACATGGCTGATAACCGTACTTTGAGGGAGTTGGCAACGCCAAATACGGATCAACAACCATTGTGCATCACATATCCAAATGCAGAAGGAGGATTGGAGCTCAAGTCTGGAATGATTCACTACTTGCCTAAGTTCCATGGCTTCTCAACAGAGGATGCCAACAAGCATCTCATGGAGTTTCACGTGGTATGCTCAGGAATGAGACCAGCAAATGTGGATGAGGAGCAAGTCAAGTTGAGGGCATTTCTGTTTACATTAGAAGCTAAGGCAAAGGAGTGGCTTTACAATTTACCTCCAGGATCAATGAACACATGGAACCAGGTAAAGCAAGCATTCTTGGAGCAATATTTTCCAGCCACAAAAGCTGCAAGCATAAGGAAAGACATATCTGCAATCCGACAACAACATGGAGAGCCCTTTGGAGATTACTATGAGCGGTTCACGCATTTGGTTGCATCTTGTCCTAATCATCAGATTTCAGAGCATCTTCTAATACAGTACTTTTATGAGGGATTGTGTGGTACTGATCGTGTAATGCTTGATGCAGCAAGTGGAGGAGCATTCATGGACAAAACACCAACTAATGCTAGGGCATTGCTAAAGAACATTGCTGGCAACACACGACAATTTGGAGGGAGAGATGAGCTACCTTTTAAGAAAGTTAATGAGGTAAGTGCTACTTCTAGTATTGAATTACAGTTATCTAACTTGACTAATCTTGTGCAACAGGTTATGGTGGCTCCAAAACAGGTGTGTGGTGTATGTTCAATGATGGGACATGCCACAGACATATGCCCTTTATTGATGGATCAAAGTGGTCATGAGCAAGCTAATGCGATAGGAGGGTTTCAGGGGCAACAAAGGCAAAAGTATGATCCGTACTCCAACACTTATAACGCGGGGTGGCGTGATCATCCAAACTTGAAGTGGAGCAATCATGACAACGGACAATAATTTGTGCCCAATAACTATAACCGTCCACCTGGCTTCTCTCAAGCAAGACCGAATGCACCATTGGAGCCTCGACAACAACAACCTCCAAGTAAGTCTCTTGAGGATTTAATTTCTTCTTTAGCTAACTGATCGGTTCATAATTGTATATTATTTCTTACCCTTCTAGCTTATGATTTGGTTATGTTTTTTAGTTAAACTTGTGCTTTTAATCCTTTTTGTGTTTATCTTTCAGTTAATTGAGCTTTAGGTAACAATGATGGCTTTGGAGAACATAATTCATGCAATTCAAGCATGTTAAGGCCTAATTTGGATGAATTGATGAAGAGCTTAAAGACAAATTCATTATGGCTACAGCCC